GGCTTCTCACACTGCAAAATTGCTCATCAAGGCCAATAAGAAACTGCATAATCTGATCTTCATACTCCAGCTCTTCCCAAAGTCCTTTGAATCAATTGAAGTAAGAGTTGACAGAACTATTTGCTCGAGAAATCGAAGTAAATTGCTTCTTAAGCTCATATATGCGAGGACCATTACTTTGGCTGTAGCGATCCCTGAGTTCAATCCAGATGTCCCTTGCAGAATCTTTGTGCATCACACTAGGGTATAGCTCATTCAGAATGGAATTGATAATCCATGAAGAGACCACATGATTGCATCTCTTCCAAGCGCCATAAAGAATATCATTTTAAGGAGGCTTGACGATTAATCCGTCAATAAATCCTTCCTTATTTTTGTCATTGAGTACCATAATAACGGCACGACTCCACGTCGCATAATTCTCCCTAGTGAGCATGACAGTGATGAGTTGCATCCGTGTTGTCGCCATAATGAAGATAATACTGACTACTTGAATCACTTACCAATCGATTAACAAGAAAAGCCACATCTCTAGCTACCACTTCTCCACCAAACAAATCAATTGGTAAATTGTTTGATTAAACTGATTTTGAGTCTCTATTTGAGCACTAGATTCATTTGTCATCGCAGATAAGCATCACAACTCTGATACCATGATAATTTGGCTACAAAGAAAATTTTAGATTTGAGAAGTTAAAATAATAAGGTACGAACTTCTGTTTTCTCATTCAACCCTTCTAAATTATACAAGCACACACACACACACACACACACACATATACACACAAATGCAGCTAATCGAACCATAACCAAAAAGATAGAGAAATGCTATTCATCCCCAGTGGGAATGCATCCCCAGTCTATGTGGATATAAATGATTGGTTAAATGATAAGTAAAATTAAATGACTTATTTAATTTCACCTATAATTTAATGTCACATTAACAGCACATAGACTGGGGATGCATCCCCAGTGAGGATGAATAGCATTTCTCAAAAAGATATGTACAAAGACTTCAATACCCCTATGCTACCATAGCTCCATACAACACACATCTCCATAAGTTGAGACCAAAATGGATAATTGGTCTAGTCCAGGATGATACTAGTAGGAAAAGTAAAATTTTCTTGGTGGATAATAATAAGAAATTCAATTCGTGTTTGAGTGGTTCTATTGTGATCGGAACTGCTATAATACCATGTTAAACAATTGTGTCTATAAATTTAGTTTTTTGTATTATTCTTCTACCTTTTTGGAGCAAATATATAGGTACCAATAACATCTTAAAAATAGGAAAACGATCCTATTCTAAGGACAATATATATTCCTATATATAAAAAATTGGACAGCTAACCAGATTCCTATAATTACAGGACACAATTGATTACAGCACACATATAACTCATGTCAACATGAAATAATGAAAAATTCTTCGGGACTTTCAAATATTAATGTACATCCATATAGGTCGGTCCAGTCTCCGCTATTATCCCAACAGACAGATGTACTCAATTTCTTCTATTTTCTGTACAATATTGATTATATTTGACAATTATACATATGTCGTCGTCTATTTGGGAAAAAAAATCAAACTATGAAAGTATTATAAATGATAAACGAAAAAACTCTTCGAATGTAGAAAATAAGAAGAATTTTGTAGGAAAAGAAGAAGAATAATGCTACTTGTACATATAGATGAGGTCTCAATGAGAGAGTGGAGAAGTTTTTTGTTTTTTTTTTTTTTTTCATTTGGTTGAAAAAATTCTGATTCAATCACGCATCATGTATATGTACATCAATATATAAGTAGTGATGTACCTATAGCATAATCGAAAAAAAAAATAAAATAAAAAATAGCAAGAGTCGTTTTCTAATTTTGGTGCAAGTGGAGGTAGGGCCAAGTGTTTTGAGGTTTCCAAGTTGACAACTGCAATTCTCTTCCTAAACACTTTTGGTAGCTAAGTAACTTATTAAAACTTTGACTTTAAACAAAAATATATAGCAGATAGAGCATCCACTACCAGTGCCGTGAAGCAAAAGCGGGTCCGGATGATATGATTATTGTCACAAAATGCAAAACTAACTAATTACTTATAACGTAGTACCTAAAATACTCTTTTAACAAACAGATGACAAATAATTTTGACCAAACTCTACATTAAAACTTATTTTTATATTTTCAAAAATAAAAATAAAATAATAAGAGTGATAAATTGAAATATTCTAATCCCAAGCCTACCTTTAGGATGCGTTTGATAGGCTGGAAAATGCATGGAAAAGGAAAATATTTTCCAATTTCAGCCAATTGTGAGTGTTTGAATGACAAATAATTCCATGGCAAATGAGGAAATTATTTTCCCCTCACGCGCCCATTTCTAGGCGTGAGGGGAAAAGATTTTCCCACCTAAAATCAATTCTGACTTTTGGAGTTTTTTTTTTTTTTGTTGCAATGCAAACAAATTTCGTAACCAATTGTAAAAAAAAATTTCACTTTTATGGACAATTTTGATGCAAACGAAGGCCAAACAAACACTAAACTTTGATAAAAAAAATGATTTTTTAGGAAACATTTTTTTTTTTTACTTTTTGGCAAGGAAACAAATTTTATAACCAATTGTGGAAATTTTTTTTACTTTAATTGACAACTTTGATGCAAACGAAGGCCAAACGAATACAAAATTTAAAAATTTTTCGGGTGGAAAATTATACCAATCAAACACACTTAATTAACAATTCTCTAGAAAACAATTTCTAGGCATTATTTTCCCTGAAATTCATTTTCTTTCCACCTATTTTCTACCATTTCAATCAAACGGACCCTTAGAAAATTCGCGTATTTGCAAGAGATGAGGATGGCCTCCGCGGTCCCGGCCTCGGCCTGCCTTTTGGCCATTCTAATTTTCACATTTCTAACTAAATCATTATTAAATATTGTTTAGACCATTAATTTTTAAAAATACATCGATAAATGATTTATTTGAAATATTCTATTAGAGAACAAAAGATGGTTGGTTCTAGTTATGATTCATCTAGAGGAATACTCAAAAATCTAATATCCGTGAGGGAAATTCTTCGACTATAGTTTGAAGGTGATAAATCACGCGATTAGAATTTTTTTAATATTTATATGTTTGTGAATTAATAATGAGTTTTTTCCTCAATAGAGAGTTGTCAAACAAGTGAAGTTGTTGAATAATGATCTAGTGACTTTTGAATAAACACTACAAATGCCTTTCTTCTTTAGTATTATGTACTATATTTTGTATACTATTTGCCCATTGAAATGAATTGTGCTTATTACTTTGCAATACACGTAAATGAATTATGAACACCTGAAAATCAAGTTACTTGTTGATGTATTTTTGAAGAATTGACGGTTTAGACTTTACTATGTACATGATTTAATCAGTAGTGTGTTAATATTGTATTCTAGGTATTATAATATTGCTAAAGGAGGTACAAGATAAATGAAAATTCATGAGTATTTTAGCCTTTAATAAATAAATAAAAAGTCAAGGGGAAACATGTTATTTAAAACTTGAAATAAGGAAAGTCTCTGTAATTTTTCAAAATGTGTATATCTGAAATTGTTGTGAACATCTGAAAATGTCTATGTAATTTGCCCTGAAAATGCAAGTATTGAAATTATTCCATAAAATGTTCTCAAATATTGAAACCTATGCCTGTTGGCACTTTTCTTACATTAACAAAGATCTGATTGTAACTTTTAGGTGACGGATTAACAAAATATGATAAAACGGTGAAACTTGAAATGAAATTGAAGTTGAGTGATTTAATTATAACAAAGTGAACTTTAGTGACTCAATTGAGATTTTGCTGAAAGTTGAGTGGCCACAGATGAAAATTCTAAAATTGAGTTTAATATTAGTCCTCTAAATCAAACTAAGAACCTTTATTACTTTAGAATTACATATAATTAAATAATATTAAATGATGATCATCTAACGATCGTGTTGGCATATGCGTTGTCTTGGCTTCCGTGCATCATGCCAGCCTGAACCCCGGCCAGCCCCTGTTTAAACTTTAAATGAAAATTCATGCGAGATGGTGCAGCTGTGATGCATAGAATGATGCCCCCATCAATCCATTAACATTTCTTTATGCGCACAAATATAAGATTACATATATCAAAGTTTTGACTCTTCCATTACTACACAGTTTGAGTTTCCCATATATTAGAAAGGAGTTGGGTTGGTGTCATGGGCCAACAGTTTCTAGGAAAATCCAAATCTTTGACCACAAGATGAGCTGAGCTGAATTTCTTTTTCTTTTTTATTTCACATGCATATGCGAAGGAATTAATTTTATTTTGAATAAGATTTCTCTCTGGTTTGCTCATCAAGGAAACTATAAAAAGGGTGTTGGTTCCAATCCCCCTCTACTTTTGGGTGGCACTGGCAGAGTTTGCTTTCACACTTGCGCAACTTGATCAAAATATTTGCCAACCTTTTTAGTAAGTTCTCCTTCTGAATCTTTATATGACTTATATTTTCAGCTCCATTCAGATTATTTCTGCTTTAATTCCCAAAAAATTCTAGTATTGAAGATTTAAATGACGATTTCCATATGTTCAGGTTTCTTACTTTCTTGATTTCGGGTAGGTGAGCTTATGTTCTCAACAACTCTGATTCCTCACTGCATCTCCCTGTTTGTGTTTCTGTTTTGGGTCAAATAAAATCCAAATCCCAAATAGGTAGAAATGAGATCTATTTATATTATGTTTTTATTCTGCAATGCAGCTTGAGGATTGTCATCTTCTAAATGTTAATTTAAGGTAAGTGACCGGGTCATTCACTAATTTGTATTATGACTACCTCAATACCTGATTTCTTTGTTCTCTATCTGTCTTTTTCTTATTGGATAGTAATCTCATGCTTCAACAATTTCAGCTTGACAAAATGTTTTATTTAGTTCGTAATTATTTTCCATAGACCGTAAAGCAGCTCACGAGTGAGAACAAGCTAGGAGGAGTAAACGCTATGGCCGTAGAAAATGTTGAAGGTGAAGATGGTGCTACAAGAAATGAGGCCTCCACCTCAGGAAGCCATGGAGGCCAAGAGGACTTGCCCAATGCTGGGGGAAAAGAGCCCACGAATGCAATTCCATTTTACAAGCTATTCACGTTTGCTGATTCCAAGGACAAAATTTTGATGATTGTTGGTACAATTGGTGCCATTGGAAATGGATTGTGCCTGCCTCTTATGACAATTCTTTTCGGAGAATTGATTGATTCTTTCGGACAAACCCAAACCGCAGATGTTGTTTCGGTTGTTTCAAAGGTAAAGGGAAGTCTTTAGTTTTCAAAGTATCTTATATTTTGCTTAAATCGTATCATTGAATGTTTCTACTGCTGTGATGTGCATAGTTCCACAAGTAAAAATATTCTCATACTTTCTTATTGGATCTCATTGTAGGTGGCACTGAAGTTTGTGTATTTGGCTTTGGGATGTGGTGTTGCAGCATTTCTTCGTAAGAATTCCTAACATCATGTCTTTATTATTGAGTTTAAAGAAAATAGATATTGAATTTTTGGCACTAATATTGTGTATATCTTTTGGTGTCTTCTAGAGGTGGCTTTCTGGATGATCACTGGGGAGAGACAGGCTGCAAGAATCAGAAGTCTTTATTTGAAAACTATATTGCGACAAGATGTTGCTTTCTTTGACAAAGAAACAAATACAGGAGAAGTTGTCGGAAGGATGTCTGGTGACACTGTTCTTATTCAAGATGCAATGGGCGAGAAGGTATTACTGTAACGACCCGCCCTCTCACTGGAGCCGTTATCATATCTTACGTACTATCCGCTCTGGGGTGGGCTTCTGCCCACTTATCCCCTCACGGCTTTCTGACGCGTCCTCCAAGATTCGAACTCAAGACCTTCATCATATAGGAGACTCAAGTTGAATCCTGGTACCAATTGAGCAAGTCTTATCCCCTCAAGGCTTTCTAACGCGTCCCCTAGGATTCGAATCCAAGACCTCCATCATATGGGAGACTCAAGTTGTATCCTGGTACCAATTGGGCAAATTGGTACCAGGATTCAACTTGAGTCTCCCATATGATGGAGGTCTTGNAATTTGCCCAATTGGTACCAGGATTCAACTTGAGTCTCCCATATGATGGAGGTCTTGGGTTCGAATTTTGGGGGATGCGTCAGAAAGTCGTGAGGGGATAAGTGGGCAGAAGCCCACCCCAGAGCGGACAATACGTAAGATAACAATTCCGGTGAGAGGTCGGGTCGTTACAATTACTCCTTGAACATTGTCGTTAATTATCATTCTCTCCCTCAAGAGACTTTAGCATGTTTCAAATGCTAATTTTTTTAGTTATCTATATCTTGCTTCAGGTGGGAAAGTTTATACAGCTGATCTCAACATTTTTCGGAGGATTTGTTATTGCCTTTATTCAAGGATGGCTTCTTACCCTTGTCATGTTAACGTCTATTCCTTTGCTTGTGATATCTGGTGGAGTCATGTCAATTGTCTTATCCAAAATGGCGTCTCGTGGCCAAAATGCATATGCTAAAGCTGCAATTGTGGTTGAACAGACAATTGGCTCCATCAGAACGGTATGCCACTATCATAGAATTTAGTTTGTTGAAGTGCGGAAAAAAATTTATGATTAAGCATAGACGTCTAGCTTAGCTCCTTAGTTTGTCCTTCGTATAATTAAATCATTCGTTTGATCTCAATCCAGGTTGCCTCATTTACTGGGGAAAAGCATGCCGTGACTAATTATGATAAGTCCCTTGTGGAGGCATACAAATCAGGCGTACATGAAGGGTGGGCTAGTGGGTTAGGTCTTGGATCCGTTATGTTCATCGTGTTCTGCAGTTATGCTTTAGCTATTTGGTTTGGTGCAAAGATGATCCTGGAGAAGGGTTATACTGGGGGTGACGTGCTCAACGTTATTGTTGCAGTGTTAACTGGTTCCATGTAAGTTAATCTTTCAAATTTCATATAAAATTACGCATGCTCTAACTGTTTCTAATTTGACTTGTTTAGCATCTAAATTCGTGATGTGCCATTTCAGGTCTCTAGGACAGGCATCTCCCTGCATGAGTGCATTTGCTGCGGGTCAAGCTGCGGCCTTCAAGATGTTTGAGGCTATAAATAGGAAACCTGAGATAGATGCATATGATACCAGAGGAAAGATATTGGACGACACTCGTGGAGATATAGAATTGAAAGATGTCTATTTCAGTTATCCAGCAAGACCAAATGAAGAAATATTCAGAGGATTCTCTCTTTTTATCCCTAGTGGCACAACTGCAGCTTTGGTTGGACAGAGTGGAAGCGGGAAATCAACTGTTATTAGCTTGATAGAGAGATTTTATGATCCACAAGCTGGTGAAGTTCTGATCGATGGAATTAATCTCAAAGAATTCCAGCTCAAGTGGATTAGGTCAAAAATAGGTCTTGTCAGCCAAGAACCTGTGCTTTTCACAGGCAGCATCCAGGACAATATTGCATATGGCAAGGACGGTGCAACCCTTGAAGAGATTAGAGCTGCAGCTGAGCTAGCAAATGCTGCTAAGTTTATTGATAAATTGCCCCAGGTTTGTCCTTCTAGTAAATTTAATTACTAGACTTTGTCATGTTTGAATTTTCAAATGTTGGAGAGTTTGTATAGAAATATGGGTTTTTTGGATGTTGTTTGTCCCACATAGGATAGAAATAGAAAAAGAGACTTGTTTATAAGTGTGGAAATAATATATTTAATAAGTTGGATAAAAGACTACACAAATGGGCTTTGGGCCTGAGCCATATGATTTGGGCTTGATTGGGCTCCTTGTTAGGCTATATAAATATATATTTAGTTTTAGCACTTATATTTCTTTTTTCGTATTTTTCGGTTTTGTTTGAATGGTTGTGTCTGATCATCACAATTGTTTACCACAATCGACACAAAGGATAAAGCTGTACGTTTTCTATTTATACGAAGAGAAAACGTCCGATTTACATATATAAAATTCCTGCATTTCAATCCTCCATAAAATTCTGTCTGAGAGAAGAAAACACTGAGTATAATCGCCAGAGCCAAGAATCCAGTGCTTGATTATTGGGAACAGATTGTTGAATCTTGGTGGTAGACGCTCATCAAACTACAAGCACATGAGTAGAGGTGAATTTCTACTATAGGACATAGCGTTGCGCTAGCTTCAATCTGAAATTCAAGTCAGTATCATTTATATTAATTTTGTTATCAATCTGTATATTGCATAATAGTATTCTGTTTATAAGTACGTTGCATTATTTGTTCTGTCTAGTTCCTGATCGTTTCCAACACAAATGTACTCCTGAGTCTATCCGAACTCAATTAACATCTCTTGATTGCATATTTCTCTTGGTTTCCTACATTTTAGGAGTTGGTGTATTGTTTCTTAGTATTAATTTTTGAATTTCATTCAGGGACTCGATACCATGGTTGGTGAACATGGAACTCAACTTTCTGGTGGCCAGAAGCAAAGAGTTGCCGTAGCCAGAGCAATCCTGAAAGATCCACGAATTTTACTTTTAGACGAGGCAACAAGTGCTCTAGATGCAGAATCTGAGCGAATTGTTCAAGAGGCTTTGGACAGGATAATGATAAACAGAACAACTGTCGTTGTTGCACATCGTTTGAGCACAGTAAGGAATGCCAATATGATTGCAGTCATTCACCAAGGAAAGATGGTTGAAAAAGGTATACTCTAAAATCTAAATAGACTTTATTTTCTATTTTTACTGCTTTTCTTGAGGAACACCATTAATGCATAGCAGTTATATGATTGTTCTCAATAAAGCACGTTTACTTAATTGCAAAAGATTTCAAAACGTCATGCAGTGATATCAATGAAAGAAGAATTTTCTCAACATCAAATCAGATTATAAAACTTCCTTGGGGAAGTTATTGCCTTAGGGAAAAGAAAATCATATGAATAGTATCAACTGCTTTTGAACGGTGCAGGCACACATTTTGACCTACTCCAGGATTCTGAAGGAGCATATTCTCAGCTCATACGCTTGCAAAACATAAATAAAGATTCTGACCAACATGTTGATGACAGAGACAAATCTGACATGACTTTGGAATCTGGTAGACAATCAAGTCAAAGAATGTCATTTCAGCGTTCGATCAGTCAGGGTTCTTCTGGAGCTGGAAATAGCAGTCGCCATTCATTGTCAGTTACATTTGGCCTACCTACAGCACTTAGTGTCCCAAAAACTGAATTAGCAGATCCAGATATGACTTCTCATAAAACATCAGAAAAGCCTCCAAAAGTCCCAATTCGACGACTTGCCTATCTCAACAAGCCTGAGGTACCAGTTCTGATAGTTGGAGCTATATCTGCTATTGTAAATGGTGCAATAATGCCAATTTTTGGTGTACTACTTTCCTGTGTAATCAAAACATTCTTTGAGACACCGCATAAATTACGAAAAGATTCCAAATTTTGGGCCCTAATGTTTGTGGTTCTTGGAGCTGTATCACTAGTTGCATATCCAGCAAGAACATATCTTTTTGGTGTGGCTGGGAATAAGTTGATAAGGAGAATTAGATTGCTGTGCTTTGAGAAGGTGGTTAACATGGAAGTTGGTTGGTTTGATGAGCCTGAACACTCAAGTGGAGTAATTGGTGCAAGGCTCTCAGCTGATGCTGCTACAGTTCGCGCTTTAGTTGGAGATGCTCTTGCACAGATTGTGCAAGACACTGCCGCGGCAATTGTCGGACTGGGTATAGCTTTTGAAGCAAGTTGGCAGTTGGCACTTATCATCCTTGGTATGATACCTCTGATAGGATTGAATGGATATGTACAGATCAAGTTCATGAAGGGGTTCAGTGCAGATGCAAAGGTTTGTATCCAAACTAACAATTCTTTATTTTACGGGCTCCTATCTGCTAAAAAGATCAGTTATCTTAAAAACTAGTAAATTAACAATGTGAATTATCAGCATTAACCCATTTGAAGAAACAAACTTTAAAAAAGATACAATAACTTCCTGAAACCACTTATTATTGTTCTAAACTCCGCAGGCAATGTATGAGGAAGCAAGCCAAGTTGCAAATGATGCAGTTGGAAGTATCAGAACAATTGCCTCCTTCTGTGCAGAAGAAAAGGTGATGAATATGTACAAACATAAGTGTGAAGGCCCTATGAGAAATGGGATAAGACAAGGATTGATTAGTGGCATAGGTTTTGGTCTATCTTTTTCCTTGCTGTTTTTGGTATATGCTACCAGCTTTTATGCAGGAGCTAGGCTTGTTGAGGATGGAAAAACAACATTTTCGAATGTGTTCCGCGTAAGTCTGTTCTTCACCTCTGTATTGAATTTCCCATGTTATGGTGACAATGCAGAACATATAAATTGACAGGAATTCTAAAATTAATAAATGTTTTACAGGTTTTCTTTGCTCTAACCATGGCGGCAATAGCAATCTCTCAATCGAGCTCTTTTGCTCCAGATTCAAGCAAAGCCAAGACTGCTGCTTCTTCTATATTTGCTATGCTTGACAGGAAATCTAATATTGATCCAAGTGATGAGGCTGGCATGACACTTGAAAGCGTTAAGGGAAAAATTGAACTGAATCACGTGAGCTTCAAGTATCCAACCAGGCCAGATATCCAGATTTTCCGGGACCTTTCCTTGGCAATTCATAGCGGGAAGGTGACGTAATATTTTATAGCCCTTATTTCTATTTTTAATATTTTTGCACCTGAGAAAAACAGTATATACCTGTTTGTCGTGCAATTTCATACATGCTGAGTTCTAACGTTGTTGGGGTGGGTTTAATGTTTCAGACAGTCGCTCTGGTGGGAGAGAGTGGAAGTGGGAAGTCAACAGTCATCTCATTACTGCAAAGATTTTACGATCCTGATTCAGGTCATATTACACTTGATGGAATTGAGATTCAGAAGTTTCAACTCAAGTGGTTAAGGCTGCAGATGGGGCTTGTGAGCCAGGAGCCTGCTCTGTTTAATGACACGATCCGATCCAATATTGCATATGGAAAGGAAGGAAATGCAAGCGAGGCAGAAATCATAGCCGCAGCAGAGCTAGCCAATGCCCACCAATTCGTTAGTGGGTTGCAACAGGTATAGATTTGATATTTGTTATGTCCTGTATAATAGTGTTTTCCCTCAAGTTATGAATTATTAAAAATTGGAATTTTGACTGTTATAATTCAAAAATGAATGCAGGGATATGATACAGTAGTGGGAGAGCGAGGGGTTCAATTGTCAGGTGGACAGAAACAGCGGGTAGCCATTGCACGGGCAATCATAAAAAGTCCAAAGATTCTACTACTAGATGAAGCGACTAGTGCACTCGATGCTGAATCTGAGCGGATAGTTCAAGATGCTCTTGATCGAGTGATGGTGAATCGGACTACAGTGATTGTAGCACATAGGTTATCAACAATCAAGGGAGCAGAAGTAATTGCTGTGGTTAAAAATGGAGTTATAGTAGAGAAAGGGAAGCATGACACACTGATCAATGTTAAAGATGGTATCTATGCATCACTAGTTGCCCTTCACATGAGTGCTTCGTCTTAACATATTCAAAATCTGAAAAATAATATTGCGAATGTGATTTTTTTTTTCTCACCAAGTAAAAGAAGGTGCCGGATATGAGGTCAATTTTGTAATGTTTCTAATTGATATGCATACTTCTTTATGCATTTTTTGGCAACTGCAAAGTCACTGTGAACCCCCTCAATCTAAGATCAGGAATATTATTTATTAATTGTATGCAACAAAAAGACAGAATAGTTTTTTGGAGCGTGGGAATCTTCTTTTATCATCACTGTCCCGTGATTCTAGCAAGCAAGAAAGAGGAGGCAATTTTTTCTCTTTTTTTTGCATAAATTTGCGTCATGGATGACGTTTCTGAATTTATCAATTCACAAATCTATTCTATGTAGTCAGTAGTATAAAATAATTGGTGTTGAAGTTCTAGAACAGCTTGCAGAGTGGACTTCCCTCTTTAAAAATCTAGTTTATCAGCTTCTTCTCCATCTTTCCATGGTTTTTTGTTTGGTTTTTATTTCTTACAATTCGCTCCTCCCAGTATCTTTTAACAGCATCTTCATGTTATTCTGGAATATAAAAGTCTCATTCGAATATTACGACAGAATTACCTTGAAGTAATTGGATAGCGTAATCAGTTTGATCGACAGGATCACAGTATTAATTCGAGCCCACCAAGTTCACGATATTTCCTTAAAACAAATTTGCTATCTTCATAGGTGCTAAAGGTATTCAACAATCGATTCCCAAGATAGAACGAATTTCGTCTCCTACGGAAGCAGCACAACAATCTGCAGAAGTTCCAACGAACTCAACGAAATGTTTTTTCACTTTGAGAACAATATCAGAATGAGAGAGTGGAGTGAGATTCAAAGCAGAGAACGATTGCAATGAAAATGGTGTATTTTTTCTGGCAGCGGGGCATGCAACTTGTTCGTGGCCATTCAAACAACCTTTAAACCATTTCAGAACAGTCATCATTGTTCAGACAGCCTCCCAAAACCCGAACAGACAACAAGGTTCGGTCAACAATTGACTGTTTAAGACGGTTAACAGTCGGCTGTTTAGTCAATTAACAGATCATCCAGACAAAAAATTACTCGAAAATAAGCCAATAAAAAATAATTTCATTAAGTATTCAAGAATTTGATTAATTACAATTTGATCCAACATTAAATAAATTTTGTCCTAAAAAATAATATAGTACAAGGACGCACCCGCACCGGATCGAGCTCGGGCACGTGCTGTGCCGGCCGATCAGACGAATGGCGACGACGACACGCGCGTGTCGGGTTTGGACCGAATCCTATAGGATATAGGTCTCCCACTTTCTAAAGACTGTTGGTACCCCTTGGGGCTCAAACTCAATTCTCAACCTTACACTATGTAAACCACATCAAGATTTCATAACTTTCCTATTTGGGACAAGTGTCTGAGAATTTTCTAATAAATCAAATTCATGTTTCAAGCGGGTTACTTTGACATTAAATATTTCATTCAATGCTAAATGGTTTTCGACAAATAAATATAT